GCGCAAAAAACAAGATCAAGACAGCTAACGCTAGGAAATGCACGTCTGCTGGGCCACCCTTGGAAAGACTATTTTAGATCCAGTTGTCTCGGACGGCTCCGGGGACCTCCGTATGGGCACAGTCATTACCATTGCCAAGCTACGGTCACATGTATAGAGATTAGTTGTACAGTATGAGGATGTTTCGAAAGTTATCAGCCAGCAGCAGGGTAAAGGTCTGCGCCAGATGCTTGCTCCTCCCCTCCGGATGCTGGAGCTAGAGCTCCGGTTCGACTTTGAGCAACATCATGCCAGGCTCAATTATTCTTGTGGAGGATGTGGAGTTGACCGTAATGGAAGTGGAGAAAAAATAGAGATTTCTTATACTTGAGTATACTACGGTTACAAGACAACTGGGGAAGTTAATATTAGAGAACTTAATAAGGCTAGTCAAGAGCTCGGGAAGATCACGTTGAGAGTGACGTTGGTCCTCCGTACTATCGACCAACTACTACTTGTGATGGGTGGGCTGTCACTTTCTCAGCCCACCGTTAACGGGGGCACACATGCTGTCAGTGCTTAATTTAATTTTAATGTTCCCGCGATTATCGGTGTCATAACCCGCTTGGTCCCACTTTCTTCGCTGAGGTTTCATTGGATTAAATTGGCATTTTAAAGTATGGAACCCGATGTGGCCCGGCCACTCAGGGGCGGTGCTGCTGTTAGGGTCTGGAATTTCCAGGCGGATAGGTATCATGCTGGTAGGTGTCTTCCCTAATCTTTTTTTCTTTTTTTTTTCTAGGGCGTTTGCCGTTTGCTGCTCAAATTGGTGGTTATTAGCTATGACGCTGTATGTTGGAGTAATATGTTGATCGCTCTATAGATAGGGATGAGGTTTCTCTACTATGACTGACCCCGGCATATTAGCATTCACTATAAAGAAATAGTTGAAATTTAAGAGGCTCAACGCTATGCAGCTTACACAGCTTCATCGATAAGCGAATTCCACACTCTGAGGATCCTTCTTGAAATCTCTATACCTTGCCACTGAGCACAGCGGACTCCGTAGGGAAACTCGTGGGCGAGGTGCTCACTGAGCGGAACTGGGTTGATGTCTTCCGCAATAGCCGCGGAGCTTAGACTGGGGCTAATTAGTCCAGCAGAGGGTGACATCCCATCTCCTGAGGCTACAAATGATAGCGTCAGCTACTCCAACATAGTGGATAGTGGATATGCGTTCGATGTAACCAGCTAGCGGCATGGACCGCACACCACATGGGTCAGATAGCGATACAGGCTTAGTAGGATGGAGCAACTCTTCCCTAAACTTGGCTATATTACGTGAATTAGCTTGGATTGTCTTATCTTCCGCCCCTGTCTAGGCGCTGATCTCAACTAGACTCATATTTGGTCCTGTGTACATTGCCTGGGGTAGTCACTTGTACTAGTAAGTACCCAGAAAAGATTGGAATAGTCGCTATTCCGCGAGAGGGCTTGCTCCTGAGAAGGTATCGAACTATGCCGAATGGGCCCCAGTTGTACACCGAAGGTCGCCGAACATTTGAACGTCGTGGACCAAAGTGGTAGGTAAGGTACCTTGCCCAGGACTTTCCTCTGTGAGCAGTATGAAGTGGATCCTCAGTCGAATAGCCAATCGGTAAACGCCGTACGCGACATGCCGACCAATGGCAAAACGCGGCAGAAACAGACAAGCGCTCGCCATTCAGAGAGAGTATAGGTCGTGCCATATCATGCACCTGGCCCAATAAAAGACCCTCGGTGGAGTATACAAGGGCAGGTGATCGATGTGGACAACAGGGATGTTACTTAATATGGTTTAAGCAATTCACCTAAATCGAGGTTACTTTAGGGTACCTCGTTCTAGAGATTTTGGTTCAGTGGTGGATCGTAATCGGAATACCAGTGGGGTATAAGTCCCACCTGTTCCAGTGTTCGACTTGGTGCGAAACCCTGCGTCAGTGCTCACGGCCATTGGCAAGGTCTAGACTGTGCGTTCTTGATTAGGATCTAAACATATGTATTGGTATACTGGCCTGGGCGTGTCTGTATCGTATCAGGTGATAGTCATCCACCTCAACACGGACACTCTCGTGCCTATACAAATTTGATACATACCTCTAGCGAACGCTCCCCTCTGTGCGACATGACGTCCGAGGAGTCGAGGTCCGTGGGACATATACTCAGTGCATCTGTTTTGTGCTACTTGATGGTCTAACCAAACCAACTGTGCTCTTCACTTCTGTCGAGCTCAGCGTTCTGTCACTGCGCTTGACTTGGTAGTGTGGCTTTCCTGGTTTCCGCCACGGACTCCATAACTTAACGGTCCAAAAACCAGTGGGAGATGCCCCACGCGGGGCATCCTTATTCGAACCAGTGACCTCATGCTCGAGTCAAATTGTTGGACAGTGCCGTGCGGGACCACAAATCACTACTGAAGCTGGTGAGCGGGGATGATCCTACGAGCAAAACCTGCCTCCCGTGCGACATTTTCGAGTTTAGTTGATGATGGGCGCCCGACCTTCTGCTTAAGAGTGGCACTGCATAACAGTTCATTGACTGAGTCAGCCAATATCCTTTGCCTCGGTATCCAATCCCTTCACGTTTACCTCACCTGTCCTGCTGTGTAAATTCACCATTAGCCAATCACCTCGATGACTCCGGTTGGGTTATTACTTGTCGCACATGCCAATTGATCAGGTACTATACGTCCTACCATCAAGTGTTAGTGAAAATGTTAGCAGACATCATTCGGAATAACCTCCAAGCCATGAAGTTTGTCGCCGAGTTTAGCGCGGTGACCACCGGATGCATGTAGTTTACTCCATTGTGGGCTTCTTTCGACCGACAATCCTTATGTTTTGCACCACGTTTCGCGTCCAGCCTCTAGAAAGGTTGGCAGTATAGTCACATCGCTGTGTTGGCCGGTGATACAGCACCTATAGATATGCTTCTATGATCGGGGATGGATCTTGACGGCTGCATGACGGCCCATCCGAAGATGCTCACCAATGATCTGAACAGGTGCTACCCACTGATAGCCATTGAATCACCTAGTTAGGGACCTAGGCAGGCAGACATTCGCTCCCCATCTGGACCCCGCCGGTTCCCTTACAAGTCCAAAACAAAAAGCTAATAGGAATCAATTGATTCGTAGCTGTGAGAAGGTTTGGAGGCTTCTATCTCACTTTTCATCATATGGGAAGAGAGACAGTACGCCACTGGCTTGCTTAGACACATCTAGTTGCTCTGCGATTACTTTGACTTTCTGCCGCCATCCCCACTTGCACTTGGAATTTCCCATGGTTGGGACGGAAAGGTTCGTGTCCGAAGATAGTAAGAGGCAGCAGTCCGTGCCGTCGAGATTGGCCCAACCATTCGCTTGATTGCGGCGCACCACCATGACTGGTTCTTTCAACTCTTCATGTTCTCACTCTCTCGCGTGCTCCATGCTCTTTCATGTTAGCTATTGTCATATCCAAAAATAAGTTGACAATAAACAACATGCATGAAGATGTTATGAAACGTGCATGAGGCAGATAAAGAGGCGCAGTAGATATTCTTAGATACAATGCCCGGATCCGGCGACTCCAGACATTATATCTCACAGTCTTAAGAACGCCCCTAATCTCGAGGTGAAACACGATTTCTATGTCAGTTGGGATCCTAAGCGTTGGTCCCAGTCACCCGACCAAATGTTCAGGTCCCTGGGGCGTTTGAAATGCGAACTCGGCCCAGTCTGGACAGGGCTCCAAGAGGAGAGGCCCAAGTGAAAACGGTGACGGATTTGGAAAGGTTGCCCTCTTGGCGCAAATCAAGCAAGTAATCTTCCAGAAGAAGATCACCCCGGAGGGTGGGGGGGGCGGCTGTCCTGGAGGGTGTTAGTTGTTGCTCAGATCCCTGGTGTTGATCCTTTGCTGTCATGCTGAAAATCCGCAGGTGACACTACGTTGCGAGGGAGAAGGTGTTAAGTTCGGGTTACGCAACCCGTTTTGAGGCGATGTGGTGTTGCTTTTGTTAATGATCAAGCTCCCATGGTTTCACTAAGAGTCTGCAATTGATATGAGATAGACGGGTTCAGTATACAGCCCGGTCGAGATCGTAAATCAACCCAAATTGTCGTGTCCATTTTCGTCGATTGCTTGCATGCACTAGAGCTCACCTACATACATAGTGAGGCCACTCCGATAAGATAAGGTAATTCAACGTTTGTGTAGAAGCCAACACGGCTTCCATTGGACTTCTATGGCTTTTGGTGGACCAAAGGATCACACCGAAAGAACAAAGAAATCGAACTGGAGCCCCTGCGGTTCCTGCGCAAGCCATCCTCCTCCGCCGAACTCAATCCTCCCGCTTGACGGCGGTAGATCATCGTAGGGCACCAGGTAAGTTTGGTAACTCGCGCCTCCTTCCAATCCAGCGACGATCGCCATGATGGAGATCAATTGAGGAGAGATCTAGAAGTTGGCGGTCAGCATTAGCTGTATTGGGGTCGCCGGTGTTGTCAAAAATAGCGACCGGCACACAGGTTTGGGGAAAGGTTCTCGAGAGCGAAAGAGAAGAGGGTGGGAGTACTAGTAGACGTTGTAATGGCGTCCATTCCATCCCCAGACTTGCGTGATACTGTCCTACTATCAGGAGGTGACAGCCTCGACGCACGTTCCTAATAGCTGCGTGCGGCAGTCAAATCAAATCAATTGTAAATTAGTACGACACTTGTATGACCCCCTTCGCCACTCGCATCTGATCGACGAAGGTGACCCATGATTTTAGCTGTGAGAAGGATCAAAAGCAATCATGAGAGGGATAAACATATCTCTTCGTTGGTTCCAACAGCCAACATGAACGCTGGGAAACATGGGGAGCCTTTGCCCCATGATCCCTGCCCTCACGTGATCAAAAAGTATCCAAAAGTCAGGAACGCCCATGGCGGTACTTTCCCCTATTTGTCTACGGTCGGAAAAGAAAATCTCACGAATTACCTATAGGCAACCAACCAACTTCCACCTTCGATTGCCAAGCATAATATACAGTAGTATGCATAGTGCTGGGGGGTAGGGGGAAGCGGGGATATGCAGATGGATATGGGCTGGTCGAAGCTGTCATTTCTCTTGGGTCTAGCCCCGGTGGGAATATCAGCCTGTCGATCGCAGATAAAAAGTGGCACTAATCTAGAAACAGCAGGATGGTTGTTCGCGCTAAGTGTAAGGCTTGTAAAAGTGAATTAATTACAGTGGGGCGATTGGCTGTGTCAGTGCGCTAGTGGCAGGCTCCCATGATCTACTCTCTGGTCGACCAGTCTGAACGGGTCGGATACTTCAACCCGACCAATGGTTACGCCAATAAAAGTGCAGTGGCGTTGTTGTATGTGATCATACTACGTCTAGTACTTTTCCAATCCTGTACTCCGTACGTCAAGAACCAGAGAAACACGAAAAAGGTCGAGGCTTCAATCCATTCCATATTCCTTCTACTGGAAGCTAATTACTAGTAGTATACAACCAGAACTCTCGACGGCACGGGCACACTTCCCAATAGGTAAGAAGTTAATTTAAGTTAAAGTGAGCTGAATCAGTGTCAGGAATATCCTAACCAAGGTACCGATATCATCTTTTTCTGCGAGCTGCCCGTTCCCAGATGGGAACTATAGAGCGAGAGTATTTGGAATAACCGGCGACTGATGATGCCCGCAGAAGATTTGACCATATGCCTCCTTCTGTGCACTGATTCATCTGATGCCAGAAATGAGAGACACGATGGGGAAATCGGTAAACCCCGTTTGGTCCCGTTTGGAACCACTTCAAACATGGAACTGCCAGCACCCGATCCGCTGAGCCCAACAGATTCTTGCTCATCGAGCTCTGCCCGTCGATGCCGTCCCTATGATGGCAAGTCCGGTCTGGTAAGGTTCTTACTAGCGGTGATCTACTGGTTCTACGGTGGAGAAAGCAGTACGGGATCACTCTCTGGGTACATATGGCGGGTACACACAACGTGCGGGAGGAATGATGGAGCAGGGTACCGTGGTTGCATTCGCACGATTTACTATTCTCCACGATGTGCTTCCGATGGGTGAAAAGACTGCTGTCCCGTCTTCCTAATGTACATACTTTTCGGTGAATGGTCTTCCATGGAACTCCTATATCGGCCTTTGATATACCCCAGGTGAAATTCTAACCTGTCCTCTCTTCTGTCATCCAGACACAGAAGAGAAAGAGAGGCAAAATTGCTGTACTGCAGAAATAAACTGTAGTTCCAGACTGGTCTGTCAGGGTTCCGACTAGTGGAGAATCTGACAAGTGTGAAAATTAGACAGCGGAGATGAACATGAAGAACAAATGAGTCAGGGAGATTCATTTCTCGCCTTCCCGATTCGATGATGCTCCAGCAAGACCGGGGGATTCCAAATTGATCGACTTCCCGTGTCGCCATGAACATTCAATTATGATCAAATTAGTTTTTCACTCACACCTAACCATTCCGAATTCTATACGGGGTGATAGGTCCATATTTCCGGCCAGGCCTGTCAGCCATCAGCCATCGCTCTGGGGATTTTGCCGCTGCGTCGCGAACGGAGGCTGCTGATTCTGTATAGGGTGGTAGAAGATCTTACGACTGTAGGAAGGTAATGAATATCCTGATTCTCAAGGGCAAAAGGAGGATTTTTGTGCAACAATGCTTGGACGTTGGAGTGGCAGCGAACTCTATTGACCAACCCACCCTCCTACAGCTACTACTAGTCCTCTTAGTATTACTATCATTATTATTATTAGGCCTAAACCTTTGGACAGAGGATAGTGCGTTGTCTAGTTCTAAAACGGTTCCTCCTGGCCTGGTCTCTTCACCCGCATCCGGTAAAAGAATCTGCAACAACAGGAGCTTTTTTCTTCTCTTTCAACCATTGCAAGATCTCAGACACAATTTCATGGATGCTGAATTTGGCACAAAGGGAGTAAAGAGCAGGAGGGGCTATTTTGGAACCACTGGTGTATCTAGTTTGAAGACAGAGACAATATAAAGAAGGAAACTGTGTGAGAAATGTGCACATAAAAAGGAACCCATCCTATCCTGAGGAAGAGGGCCCAACATAATAGGGCTCCCATCCAATGAGATTTCAATTAAAAATAAAGGGTAGATAAAGTGTGAGTGTGAGAAAAAAAATAATCAAAAAGACCGTAAGAAAAAAAGAAAAAGAAAAAGAACAAGAAAAAAGCCCTCCCCAATGTATCAAATCACCTGCACCCATGTTCTCCTCAGGTCCCGACATACTGGAACAAAGGCCTCACCGTCACCACTTAGTACGCAATCTGGAGATTGGTAA